CAACGAGTAGGTCTTCCGTCCTGTTTGACCAGAAGTAACTGTCATTTTTTTAAGAAATGAGTAATAACGCCCAAAAATGGTTTAAATACTCTTAACATATGTTAATTAATGCAAAAATAAGCCAGTTTTTGCTACTTCCGGTTTGACCGGAAGTGATGACGACGGACAGAAAATTAATTTTTATGCTCCCAGAGACATATGTTACCTAAATACTTGTCAAGAACGGCAAAAATACGCGTTTTTCGACTACTTCCGGTTTGGCCGGAAGTGATGTCGACGGACGTATTTTGACGACTTTGATAGATTTAGCTTGACATTTTGAACAACTTTGCTTCTTTGACGTATTACAAATTCTCAATACTTTTTGAGATATAAAGGAAAAACTTCTGGCCCCTCTAGGCCCCTTATTTTAGGGGCCAGCCCTTTTCTAGAGATACCATTTGAAAGATCTTGAAATTCTACACTTCTTTTGTTCTATATATTTTAACAAAATATTTCCTGGTAAAAAGATATCGTAGAAAAAGTGATAAAAATTTTGAAATTCGCGATAGGTCTATTTTCGGGCCATAGTGCGCGCCGACGTGCAGCACTTCCGGTAAAAATGAAATACGTATGTCACATCTACATATATTGCTCTATCATTGCTGAAAAACTCAAGTTTCTATCCTAAGCCGTTTCTGAGAAAACTCGCGGACAAACTGACCCTCTGAAAATCACTAAATCGCGGAAATCTCAAAACCGGAAGTGACGTCATCAAAACAAAAAATTATATATCAGCTTTGTTTGATGTTCTATCAGTCCTGAAAGTTTCATGAAAATCGAACCAGCCGTTTCCGAGAACTCGCGTGCACAAAATCGGTAAGAAAAAAAAACAATAATAATAATAACTAGAGCAAAGCTCGTTCCAAAGCAACGAGTAGGTCTTCCGTCCTGTTTTGACCGGAAGTAGCTTTCATTTTTAACAAAAATGAGAAATAACGCACCAAAATGGTTTGAATCCTCTAAAGCTATGTTAATTAATGCAAAAGTAATCAATTTTTGGTACTTCCGGTTTGACCGGAAGTGACGACGATGGACGGAAAATTAATTTTTATGCTCCCAGAGTCATATGTTACCAAAACACTTGTCAAGAACGGCAAAAATACGCATTTTCCGACTACTTCCGGTTTGGCCGGAAGTGACGACGCCGGACGTTTTTTGATGACCCCAATAGATTAAGCTTGACATATTGAACAACTCTGCTTCTTTGACGTATTACAAATTCTCAATACGTTTTGAGATATAAGAAAAAAAACTTTCGGCCCCTCTAGGCCCTTAATTTTAGGGGCCAGCCCCTTATAGTTGATATCCGTTCAAAGATCGTGACATTCTTAACAACTTTTGTTCTATGTGTTTTGATAAAATATTTACAGGTAAAAAGATACTGTTGAAAAAGTGTTTAAATTTTTCAAATTTATGATAGACCATTTTTCGGACCATAGCGACCGCCGACGTACGGCGTTTCCAGAAAAAGCCAAATACGAAAGGCACATCTACAGACATAGGTCTATCATGCCTGAAAGTTTCATGTTTCTATCTCAACTCATTTTTCAGAAAAACTCTGGACAACACAACCCTTTAAAATTCATAAAATCGGCAATATCTCAGACCGGAAGTGACGTCATCAAAAAAAAAAAAACGCATAAGGTTCAAGTGATGATACATGAGTCCTGAAAGTTTCATGAAAATCCATCGAGCCGTTTTCGAGAAATCGCGTGCACAAAATCGGTAAGAAAAAAAACAATAATAAAAGTGAAAAAGAAACCTAAGAATAACAGAAAGGTCTTCCGCTGAAGACGGAAGACCTTAAAAATAGTGGAAAAGAAACCTAAGAATAACAAGAAGGTCTTCCGCTGAAGACGGAAGACCTTAATAAAAATAGTGGAAAAGAAACCTAAGAATAACAAGAAGGTCTTCCGCTGAAGACGGAAGACCTTAATAAGAAACAGAGTAAAAACAATATGTTCCCCAACTTCGTTTGGGGAACATAATAACAAGATGATATCTCGTTATTTTAAGAAAGGTGTATTGAGGCAGAAGGAGGAAAGACAGAGAAGCAAATGACGTTGTCATTAAACAAAGGGCGACATGTAGAGTAGGGTCATCACACTAACGATGAAACAGTAAAATGTTTAAAGCATCAAGTTGATTTTTTCAATACTTACTACACCTACACCTTGTATTTCCTTCAAATATACAGTGGACCTTCAGATATCCGGACGCCAGATAACCGGATGCTTCAGTATCCGGACGATTTTTCATCGGAACGGATTTTTTAAAATGTTATTTTGTCTTGTTAGACTGGTGATTCAGGTATCCGGACGCTTCACATATCCGGACAAATTGACTTGGAACCAAAGCGTCCGGATAAATGAGGGTCCACTGTACATCGACCATTGCTTCCAAACTTTTCAATTACAAAAACTTTACATGGCCTGGATATCGACTATCTGAAAAATAATCCCCCTTCGTGTTCATGTTCTTCTTCGCCCTATAACTATAGTCCTGCTGGACACGTTATTACAGGTGACGTAAATATAGTTCGTAATGAGGACCTTAGATCACTTATTTTAAAAGGTCCTAAATATAGGGAACCCCGATCCTTCAACTGGCGTCGGAATTTCATTAATATTATGGATTCTGTTGAAAATTACGCCAGACGATGGGCCAGATATGAAAAAGAAGACATTGACACCTTGTCAGAATGGATTAAATGTATCAGATCCATGTTAAAGTCACGTATTAAAAGATTGAGGGGCAAAATGAAAACAATCTATCCTTCTGTGTTCAATAAACCAGAAGTGAAAAAAGAATTAGATAGATTACACGATCAGTACGTACTGGTTCCTGCCGACAAAGCAGGTAACAACATTGTCTTCGTTTGTAAGGCTCATTATATAAATTGCATTCTAGAAGAACTTGGATTTAATTCTACAAGTGGCAATCCTAATTATACTCATACTTCTCTTTCTAAGGAAGAAATTCTTCAAAATCACCTGTCAGTTTTGAATACTTTTAATATTCCACAGAGCCAAAATGAATTTGAACTACCATATATATACTAGTATTGGATTCCGAAACTTCATAAGAATCCTTACAAACAAAGATACATTGCAGGTTCCAGTAAATGTTCAACCAAGCCTCTTTCGTTACTTCTCACTAAAATATTGACAGTAGTGAAGGAAAAACTTCAAGAGTACTGTACAACTATATAATCAAGAAGTGGTGTAAATCAGATGTGGATACTTAAAAATTCTAAAGAACTTTTTGGGCAATTTGAAATCACAAGACTTTACAAAAATCAACAGCTTAAAAACTTACGACTTTTCAACTTTATACACAACAATTCCCCGCGACAAATTAAAATCCAGGCTTTTTGATATCATTGACAGCTGCTTCTTCAACAAAAATGGAACTCGTAAATTTACTTACCTTGTCGTTGGTCATTTGAAAAATTATTTTGTTAAAACAGATTCTGATTCCACATATAAGTACTCTGAAGTTGACATCAAGAAGATGCTTGAGTTTCTGATTGACAATATCTATGTGGTTTTTGGATACCAGGTATTCCAACAATCTATTGGAATTCCCATGGGTACAAATTGCGCTCCGTTATTAGCAGACTTATTTTTATATTCATATGAAGCAGAATTTATGCAAAATCTTATGCGTGAAAAGAAGAAAACACTTGCTGTGGCCTTCAACTCGACATTTAGATATATCGACGACGTATTGTCAATTGATAATGATAATTTCCATTCCTACGTCGACATGATATATCCTGGTGAGCTTGAGATAAAAGATACCACAGAGTCCGACACTTCTGCTTCATACTTGGATATTTTACTTGAAAAAGACACTAATGGTAATATAACAACCAAGCTATATGATAAACGTGATGACTTTAACTTTTCTTTCGTCAACTCCCCTTACTTATGCAGCAATATACCTTCATCACCGGCATACGGAGTATATATATCTCAGTTGATTCGATACGCAAGAGCATGCTCTACGTATGAACAATTTCTTAAACGAGGTAAATTATTGACAAGCAAGTTGATGAAACAAGAATATCAGCAGTCTCGTTTAAAGGCATCATTTCGTAAATTCTATGGTCGATACAATGACCTTGTCAGCAAATAAAATTTATCATTGAGTCAAATGCTGACTGACGTTTTTCATACCAATTGTTAGTCCATTATTTATACACTGAATTGACGACGGATTTTTTCCGTTATTTCCTGATCATGACAACGAGCACACGGCGGGTGTGACCGGTCGGCAGGGGATGCTCACTCCTCCAGGCACCTGATCCCACCTCTGATGTTTCGGAGGTCCGTGTTTGCTCTGCTCTTATTTTGTATATTGTTTAATGGACGTTGAGATTGAATACTGTTCGTTATTTCCATATCCTTCTCTTACTGTTCTTTTTTATTTTAAGTTCTTTAAAATATTTTATCGGTATGACTCATGGCATCAGTCCACCACCACATGAAAACCATCCAACAACAACTTTTCCCTAATATGTTTTTTTAAAAACCAAATCCAAACATACCAATTGATTCAAAGAATTGCTATTAATTATGAAAAATGCATTAGTATGGTGTGCTACCACATGTAGATCAATAAATTGCATTTTACGTTTGTGAATGAAATTTAATGAACGTTCAGAATGAAAAATGCATGGTAGCTGGATTTATATTGAAATATCCTATATACAATTCTTGTTCATGACGTCACTTAAAGCAACGTCAAATTATCGCAACGTTAACGTAAACTATGCTACCTTTACAGATATATGAAACATAATATAATTAAAGCTCTTTTATCCTATAGTACATGCAAATATTGATAATTTTGTAAAAATATATACTCTGCGAAAGAACTTGGAGGAATATTATTAATTTTGACACGGGGCCAAATTTTGAGACAAGTGAACCAGGTCCTTTGAAGAATAAGAATCACTGAAGGTACTTGTACACTGTCACCATTGGCATATTATTTATTCCAAGATAAATATTATTCTCATCATCCACACACACACTGAGGGGTACAATATGAAATTGCGGTTCGAGTAGTGTCGATAAGAACTGACCGTCCTGATCAAGGAGGACGATAGTGTACTGATCACATACTAGGATATGACCGTAAGCATCAGTACAGATTCCAAAGGGTTGGAAATCTGGCTTCTGATCTGTGAAGGAGAACGTTAACTCCTGACCTATGTAGGAGAATCTGTGTTGTCCTGTTTTATCGACCACCACTACAGTCTTTTTATCGTAGTCTGATGTACAGATATCTCCATTGATGTTTTCTGTTATGTAGTGTGGATTACTATACAGACTTTGTCCTTTGTTATCCCACTGTATGTTCTGTAGTTCTTTTCCTTTCTTGTTGTATCTGGTGACTTTAGCCTCTTTCCCATTTCTCATCCCAACAAGTATATCCTTGGTGATGTTGGACGAGTATACACTCCAAGGTTCCCAGTCTTTCGTTTTAATCATTTTTGAGATTTTGTTATCCATAGTTATTCTATTGACAACTTTCTTGTAATAGTCTGTAAAGATCAGATCCCCGTCTTGTGTCACTGTGTGATAACCCTGTCCACCACTGGTTTGTATCATCTGTAGCTGATTCCCTTGTAGATCTGTTTGGACAAGATTACCTCCACTATTACTGACCCAAAGTCTGCCTGATTTGTCTAGCGATAGGTGGACTGTTTCGTAGCCAATACCCGGTACGAAGAAAACCCTGACTTCAGTGAGGCAGAAAGGTTGAATATTTGTAAGTTTCCTTTGTGATGAGTTGATTGGAAATTCTGTATTCTTTATTTTTCGTGGATTTGGTTTTATCTCTGGGATACTTATTTTACCCAGTAATTTGGCAACATCTTCTCTACTGTATTGACCAGCAGTAAATACTGGTGTTACTGGTTTTGTCGTGTCCGGTATTGGTCGGATTTTCATATCCACTAAAGAGAGTGTCAAAGTTAATTTTGTGGGATCTGGTGAGGAGATGAATTCATGGAAATCCTTAATGAGTTTGTTTAGATAAATGATGTAATCATCAAGAGTCTTATCTTGTGTTTTTAAATCTTCTAGCAGCGACTTCTCTATCTGTTCTAGTTGCTTCATGTTCTCAGAGACCACTTTATCTATCAGACTTTTAAGGGACTCTGCTTCAGCCTTCATGGAGGTTCTTAATTTGTCAATGATCTTTTTTATTCCTAAGACATCTTCTTTAATTTCTCTCTGTAAATCTTCAGATGATGGCACAAAATACTCCCTAACTTTATCAATTTCTCCAAGACAGAACGAAAATTTCTCCGCATAAATAAGCTCTAAATCAGTAAAGACATGACCCCGATGTTCTTCAGTGGTGGCACACTTGGAACATAAAGGAATTTTACATTCTTCACAGAGAAGATCTATATCCTTTGTAGGATGGATATCACATTTCTTAACAGGAAGTTGGCGTTTCCGTAGTTGGTATAGGACCACTTCATGGTTTTTCGTTTTTGGATTTCTGAGATGTTCATCTCTACATTGTTTACACATCTGTTGGTGGCAAGGATTGCAGTAAAATTCACAGTTTCTTTCACAGTTTTCAACGCCACACTCTAAAAAGTGCTGGGCTGTTCCTTTTATATCTGGTTTGGACAGGGCCATCTACAGTAATTATATTAGAATTGAATTAATTGATACATTAGCTTTCACACTTTGAAAATAGAAAATATTGCCAAGCAAAATCAAATGAAAGGGATAACACTAGCGAATAATTTAGTTTGAGCATGCCAGATTCAGCGCCATTTCATGCTTGATAGCCTAGAATGAAAGAGATTTTTTTTAAATTTCAGTATGAATATTTGGTTGATTGTTCCTCTTAATTAATTAAGAAACAATTCAAAGGACTTACCCTGCGATATGGTTGACAAAGAACTGAATGTTGTATATGTATTAAAACTTCGGAATTTCCTGTCGTTTACTTCCTGGTGATAATGTAGGTTGAAAAGATACTTAAAAGAGATAAGTCATTCACTTCCGGATTAGACACAAATAGATTCAAGTATCCCCAATGTGCATGAAGATAATATAATTAACTCATGGTTTAAAGAATCACTTTTGCTTTTGAATGAAGATAAAAACTATGAAAGGTTCGATGAAATAAGATTATTTAATTAATATTTACTTTCTGTGCTGCCTGCTGAACAGAGCGACACTTAAGGACCACTTTACCGGCGTCTGTCTAATTTTCTGTCCGTCTGTCACACCCTATATCTCAAGAACTATAAGATGTATGGGTTTGGTATTTTGCTCATAATGGCCTTTGTATTTTACCATGATTTACGTCCTCTTCATCCTTAAATTGACCTCTGACCTGCTTTTTAAAATAGTCACAACGGCGATTTACAACTTGTTTTTTTACGTATGTGGGGTAAGAATATGCTATTTATTAGTATGTGCACTCTTTGTCATAAAACATTTGTGAAATACCAGAGTAAAATTCCCCCTGACCTCGACCTTTGACCAACTGTTGTAAAATATACTGGAGATGGTTTAATTTAACTTACGTCTTTTGAATATAGAAGGGCAGAAATTTGATAATTAGCAATCATGCATGTTTATAACCTCATGGCAATGTAATTTGACACTATATGCTATACAGTAACCATAAACAAGAGGCCCATGGGCCACATCGCTCACCTGAGCACTGTGGGTAAGAAAAAGTAGAATTGGTTTATTATTGAAAAACTTCAATCCAAAAGTAGTCCCATGACCAATTATGGCTTTGCTATTCTTGAGAAGAAGATTTTTAAAGAATTTTCCTATATTTTTCTATTTAAATCTTTGGTCGGCCATTTTGGCCAAGCCCTACCCCCGGGGGTCATGATTTGAACAAACTTGAATCTACAATACCTGAGGATGCTTCCATATATTATAATAAATATGAACAATTATGGCTTTGCTATTCTTGAGAAGAAAATTTTTAAAGAATTTTCAAATATATTTCTATGTAAAAATTTGGTCGGCCATTTTGGCCCCGCCCTACCCCCGTGGGTCATGATTTGAACAAATTTGAATCTACACTACCTGAGGATGATTCCACATGAGTTTCATCTTTCCTGGCCCAGTGGTTCTTGAGAAGAAGATCTTTAAAACATGCCATCAAATTTTCATTAATTCCCAATTATCTCCCCTTGAATGAGGGCGTGGCCCTTCATTTGAACAAACTTGAATTCCCTTAACCCAAGGATACTTTGTGGCAAGTTTGGTTGAAATTGGCCCAGCGGTTCTTGACAAGAAGTCGAAAATGTGAAAAGTTTACAGACAGACGGACAGACAGACAGACAGACAGACGGACGCCGGACAAAATGTGATCAGAAAAGCTCACTTGAGCCTTCGGCTCAGGTGAGCTAAAAACTGAAAGCAGAATGAAAATACATCGGGATCGGTACTCCAACATGATGGTCTAGACGGCAGAAGGATAAAACGTACGCTCAACTAGGACCTCGGGTTCATGTAGTGATATAACTAAATAAATATACATTGAATTTTAAAAAATCTGTAATCCTGTCGACCTGTAAACCTGTCTACCTGTCAGCCCGTCGATCTGTCAAATTGTTGTTATTTTGTAAAAAAAAAAAAAAAAAAAAAAAGTTTGCTTTGTTATTTTATTATATCATTATACTAATATTCATTAAAAATTAATTTGGATTTAAATTGTTTTGAACATACATTTATATTAGAATATAATTGATATAATTATACATGAATATTTATGATGTTTCAAAAATATTATAAATCTCATAATAACTAAACCGATTTACTGCAGATCATGTGTATGGGACTGTCTTATTTTGTACTTGACCAGATTTATTTTATATTTCTCTTCGATAGTCAGATTCTAACCACGGGCACTTGTTATGTTATAATCTTTTAACCCATAATTTAACATTAGTACGAGGTATCTAACTCCGCATTACACAGAGTACCCACTCCCAAAAATCGCACTCAATTACACTTTCAGACGAAATGCTCGCACAACTATTTATTGCCATTGTCTTTTACGATAATTTATCTACAAAACCATATATGGCATGCTTGTCTTTATTTTCTTTAATCTCCGTAAACACCGCAAAGGTGCATATTCTTCTCGAGAATTTTTCGCTCATATGGAGACGCCACTACTTGCCATAGAGAGCTACAAATTTTGCCCTATACTCGTCACCCAGGGTCACTGAGCAGTGAGGGATCTTCTTCCTGACAACACCTTCTGCGACACGGGACCTCTGTTTATAGGTCTCCACGTCCCACAGTGGCCTGGGATTCAACTCCTTACTTCGTGACTCAAGGGCATGCGCTTTAACCACTGGGCCACATCAAAATTAAACATAAGTATCTAAGTCCGTTTAAAAAGTTTGATTTATGTAATAGAAAAAATAACGAGTTTGGTTTCAATGATATATGTTAATTTGATATGATTTTTTTCTCATGAATTTCAATCGTCAAAAATACATAATTTGAATTTATTATGAACTTAGTTTAACTTAAATTCTTTTTAAACCTGGTACAAACTTTGCCGTGTACAGTGGTACGTTGATTGAAATGTTTGTTAGGGGTTTCAATTTAATGAAAATTAGATCTTTGATCGGCTAGATCCGCAATCGAAAAGGTTATTTGAGTACAGTAGTGTACACTTGTTTTTACGTCAAGTATGTACCGTGTTTTCTTAATTTGTTGGTTATCAAAAGAAAGATATATTGGAATCTACAAGCTAACGTAACCCTGGTCATTACACTATTTAAACATTTTTTTTAAATAATCAAGCGATTTCTGAAGGTTTTTTTTCTTCTTCACTTTTTAACTAAAGTTAAAGTATTAATGACGGTTTTTAATTGTTATTTATTACAAAATGCTGTATACAATTGATAATTTTTACTCCTTTTTACTCTCCTGAATTTGGTATAACAAGCCCATATGACTGTTTCATTTAAAAACCGAGCATGATCTTTTTATAAACAGTTCTTTTGTCCCGACTCGATGGGCGGAGTTATAGAAAAGTGTGGGTTATGTACAGAAAACCCACACTTTAAGAAATCACACCTAACTATGGTACAATTAATCGAATTCTAATATGTTTTTGAAGGTGCTAAATGGGATTCCATATATATTCAATCAGCATTACAGTTTAAAGTTCTGATTTTTCATGACCCTCCTTTTGTTTCCGTGTGTAGAAATTTTTCAACTTTCATCTACTAAGATTTGTTCATGGTGAAGTATAATTCTCAGTTATCTTTGGACTTTCAGTAAGGCGTGGCATTCTCAACGCTACGTCTCTCAAATGGTGACCGATTCTCATTGGTTAAGAAATTTTAAAATAACATCAGCAACTTTAGATTGTTGTTGATAACGATGAGATGATTTAAGCCCCACTTCGTTGCCGTACAAAACACTGTCATTGGTTCGTTGTTACACTCTTTGACATTTGCCCGAATTTCTACGTTGTGTATATTTCAATAGTGAATGAAAAGCCATGTAAATTTCAGTTTGTCGTACTATGTAATTTGACCGAATTTCAAATCCATTTTGAAAAATGAAGATCAGCCCCCTCTCTCGCCTTGTAGTTAAAACAGTGTAAAATGGGGATAAGGGGGTATTTATGCATGTGTATGCAGTATGTATAGGAAGTCGTTTAATGGAATCATCACGTAGATCTACACGACCGTGGCCCTTCTTGATAAGTTATAAAAAATTCATGGTCGTATTATTTTTACTGTAGATATATTAAATGTTAAGTAATGTTAAGTGATTTCATATCGTGTTAGTTGCTTTAGATCCTCTCAAACATAATTGACATCATTCTACTTGTTTGTGTTGTTATTATGACCGAGCAGCCAATGAGAATCGGTCACCATTTGAGATAAGTAGCGTCGAGAATGCCACGCCTTACTGAAAGTCCGAGGAAAACTGAGAATTGTACTAAATTGATTATTTGTCTAAGATTAGATGTTACAAGTTTAATTGTATCAATTTTTCTTTAAAAGTATATATATAATATTGTGCGTTTCCTGTCTTGCACACTGTGAGGCCTAGGGCTTTTAACCTTATTCAGCTTATATATCTTAGAACAGTTTAATAGACTTTCAGATTGCTCTACATAGGCTTCATATTTCATGTAAAAGTACTTCTGTAAAGAGTATTGAACATAGTCATGGGCTAGGGTAGATATTTTTTTCCTTATTTGCACAAGCATGCAAATATTGTGCTAAATAGTTCATCTATTATGTGTCTTGCTGGAGAAAACTTTTAGGTACGGTTTTAAATATTGTGCTAAATAGTTCATCTATTATGTGTCTTGCTGGAGAAAACTTTTAGGTACGGTTTTAGATGTGTGAGTTATTCTCTGGTCATGCCGTCGAACCCAGTCAGTGAATATTGGACTTTTACGAGAGGCGCTCGTAACAGTTTACAGTTGACGACTTACTTTTACAGTAGGACGGTGTACGGAAATTCTTTTACGATATAAATATTAAGGTCAACATTTCATTAAACCAAAATAACGGGTTATTTCAAAGCACAGATAAGTTGTCCTTGAAGATAACGACAACCATACTACCCCCAACTCTCGGCCTTCACATTTTAGTGCCCCTAACACCATTACTATGACCACTAGAAAGGTTTTCTGATTTATTTTCAATTCTGTACCTCCGTAGACGATACAGGTTTAAATTTCCATGTTAACAGTCAACCATAAAAGTCAGTGCTTCTCGTATAAGTCCAATATTACCAGATAAGTTTCGAAACAAGAAAGCCTTTTTCATTATATAAACTGAATAATTTTATTCAGTTTTTCATACTGAAATATATGCTTCTTATCTAATTTTATGTTCAACTACATATCAATCTAAATGTTAATTGCTTGATTAGAAATAACATGAAAACATTCTCTCTGACAAGCTTACATTGGGGGCATCGAAATCTTGTTTACGTATTTAAAATAAATAGGAATAAAAAAAATTCAGTACTGCAAATCAGTCCCCCTTTTAAACCTTTTGGTTTTTGAGAGACTATTTTGCTGTCTTCATTGTTTTACAAGAGACTATTTTGCCGTCTTCATTGCTTTTCAAGAGACTAATTTGCTGTCTTCAATGCTTTCAAGAGACTATATTGTTGTCTTCTTCAATGAACTGGCATGAGTCTCTGTGATTTGTTGTTGTTAACATACGGGGAATTGTAAATATTCATCCTCAGTGATGGTAGAGTGCTTGGTCTAGGTTTTTCTGTGTGTCGTGATCGTCTGTTGAATGCTGAAAATGGAAGGAAAGGAAAATTGTTTCATACTTTAAATATATTTCTTTCTGTTCGGAAAAAAGGCATTGGTGTCCCTTTGAATTAACTGTTCTATAGAGAAATAACGAAGTAAAAGAAATCATAAATGTTCGAAACACAAGTTTTACTTCTTGATACTGGTAGAATATTGAGCTTGAAGCATTTTATTTCATGATTATTTCAATCAACTTTTCCACCAAAAATAAGTAACTCGGAAATTTTCAAATTTTGTGATTGGCCAACAGTAATACTTTTTTAAATCACTCATTCTATATACATAAGGCAAATCTCTCTCTAAAAATTTAGAGATTTCTAGATTTCTGAAAAGCAATTTGTATAAATACACGTTGTTTCGAACCCCGGTCGCGACTGCCCAGCTGAGTCGGAAAAAAGCAACTTTTCCTTCCCCAGATGCTCGGCAGTTTAAATTGAAAATTGCAGGTCCTTAAAATAAGACCTAAAAAATCGAAGTCCTATGTCACAGCAGTCGTTGGCACCCAAAGGTCCCACGGTGTTCAATGAGCAAGAGTGCCAATTAAAGGTCTAAATGTGAAGCCCTACACCTGTATATGGTGATAGATGTAAATAGAGTTTTTGCTTATTAAAAACATTTTTAATATAGATACTTCTTTTATATTACATGGAAAGAGAACTTAGAATTGATTTTTTTTTAAATGATTGTTTCCTGGAGGTTAAAAAGTTGAGTCGGACCGTTTTTAGTCAGTCAGCCGGGAGAGAACAACAATATTTCAGGGATGACCTAATCGCACTATTTGAATACATCTGATTTCTTCTTAATCAATATATCAAATTTTATTTGTGCAAAGCAGAAAAAATGGCCTAAACATTAATAACGATTCATATTTATGAATGTTTTGGGTTGTTTATTTATCATTTATTTTGTGAACCTGCCAGAATTTCATATTTTCATTTAAATACTTTTTATTAAGCTAACAAGATTAGTCGACACATTATTTATCGCTATATTTTACACAGTTCCTGAGTTCGCCACTCGACATTTAATTTCAGCTTATTTACATTTCATCTATCTGTATTTATTTTGCCGTATAAACATTTGACCTCGAATGACGTTCTTAATCCTATGGTACATTACAGACAAGTTTTTAAAAGTCGGTAGTAAGGGACGACAGTAATTATAAAGTGAAGTAAATTTACTAATTAATATATGTATAATAAAAAGAAAAGTCATAGAACAGGAAACTGGACGAAAAGATCCATTTTTTTTCTTTACATTTTTCAGTGTTCCATTTTCTACAATATTTATGGCATGTTTTATCCAGGAATTTAAAATATTTAAGTTTTTAATTTTTTGAGATGTATGTTCTTTAAGAATAAAAACGTCATAAATTTCTCACATATAAAAAAAGAACAGCCAAACCGTTTTTATGCTATTACATAAAAATGTACTGTAAAATCATATATTCTCGTGGGGTCAAATTTTCTCGGTTTTAGTAAAAACTCTTGGTTCGTGGGGATTTAAATTCGTGGATAAAGAATTGTTGAGTTGTTATGTATGTTACATTTTACATTTCGTGGTGGACATGAATTCGTGGGTCTTCATACCCCGAAAACAACGAAAATTAGCCCCCCCCCACGAAAATTTGTGATTTCACAGTATTTTGATATTTAAAGAGTAGACCAGAATGGTTTTCGAATTTGAATTAAATTTGATTAGAAACTGATTTTAACTTTGCAATTACATTGGCGTCGGAAGCAAATTGAAAGTGTGGGGGGGGGGGGCTAAGTGTTAAAAAAAATTTTTTGTACCTTCAAAAAAAAACCTAACAAGCCAAAAAAAAAAAGGGAAATGTCCATTTCCCAAACACGAAATTCCTATAGGGGTAAGGTTCGAACTTCAGTACCAAATTTTTTTTCCAAACACCACCACTTTCCCCATTTTAAACCTATACTAAGGCGTATCTGTGGAAAGTGGGGGGGGGGGGGGCTAAACCTACGAAGATATGTTCAATGCCTATACTAAGTATATATTTGGAAAAAAAAGGGGGGGGGGGGGGCTAAACCCCCTAGCCCCCCCCCCCCCCCCCCCCCGGTTCCGACGCCTATGCAATATTACTACCATCTTCGCTAGCCAAGGGTTTCCGATCCGATACCTACTCTACAGTAGAGTAGGTATCGGATCGGAAACCCTTGGCTAGCGAAGATGTATTACTACTAGTATTCGTATTTAAAGGAATTTGAAACTTCGAAATATTACTATTTGTATTTACTTTGAAATATTACTATTTGTATTTAAAGGAACTTGAAACTTTGAAATATTACTACATGTATTTGTATTTAAAGGAATTTTAAAATAGGACCGAGTTTTAGTCTATATTTGGGAGTAGATGGGGAAACTTGTCCTCACCCCAATTTTATAGCCATTTCATATTACGTAAAAATCTTCATCTACACGCTTATAATTTAATGACAAACAATAAGTGTTAAGGTAGAATGCCACACCATTTTTTTATTTCATAGATCTTTGAGTCACCATTTTTAAACAATGGTTTCAGCATTGAAAGGCTGATATTAGCTCTTAATTATTTTATATGAATTTTTTTGTATTTTTTCAAAGAAAATGAAAAAAATTATTTACATCTAAATTAGATGCTTTCTTGTAAAAATTTTGCTGTAAATGAATGCATCACATAAATACCTAATAAAATATGTAAAGAAAGTCTGGTTAGACGTTTTAATTTTTTTAATAAAAAATTATTTATGAAAATAAAACACATTATTTGTGAATATTTTTTAAACCTATGGTTAAAAACACCATAAAACTAGTCACAACTAAGGACAACATGTTTGTCAATCATATTTTTAAAAGAAATTGAAACGAAATTGAGAAGTTTTAGAGAAATTAATTTTTTTAATATTTGGACCTAACCCGATCAAAATTAAACTGATCCCGATCAAAATTAACACAAAATGAATAAAATGCTAATTTATTGCCTCATCATGTATTTACAATGAAGAAATCTATTTTATTGTCAGGTTCTATAATGTTTTAACCCTTATAACACCTAATCAGACTAGTGTTCTTAGGAAAATGTTATTTATTTCCAATAATTGTACAATTATGGTCGGGATCGGTTTAATTTTGATCGGGATTGGCCAAAATTAAAAAAAATTAATTTCTCTAAAATTTGGCTATTTTGTTTCAATTTCTTTTATAAATTTGATTGATGAACATGTTCTCCCCAGTTGTGGCTGGTTTTAAGAAGATTTTAACCACAAGTTTAAAAAATATTCATAAATTATGTGTTTTATTTTCATAAATAATTTTTTATAAAAAAAATTAAAAAGTCTAACCAGACTTTCTTTACATATTTTATTAGGTATTCATGTGATGCATTCATCCACAGCAAAAATTTTACAAGAAAGCATCTTATTAGGATGTAATTAATTTTTTCCTTTTCCTTAGAAAAAATACAAAAAAATTCATATAAAATAATTAAGAGCTAATGTCGGCCTCTCAATGCTGAAACCATTGTTTAAAAAGGTTGACTCAGAGATCTATAAAATAAAAAGTTGGTGTGGCATTCCTCCTTAAGATACTTTACCTATTGCAAGAGCAGCATTCTCCTCTTTGGCCCAGTCTCGGAGTCTGCTGTTGCCAGGGATACAATAAATCTTGTACAACTCCTGGTACTCCTTTTGTCGACTTGCAGATCGAAAATCGCCCGACCTGCTGGTTGTATAGTTTTTCTGTTGTTGAGTTTTCTTGTCCGTTTTGAGAGCAATCTTTGTACTGGCAGGAAGTTGTGAATGTTTTTGAGCTCTTGGAGTTTGAGATTTTGAATTGTCTGATTTCGGTTTGGCTTTTGGATGCTTGACATCAAACAATAAATATTTAGGAAGGCCATAACTGTTTCTTTCATCCCTTTCATGTTCTAAAACTTTTGGCGAAACAAACTGTTGATGAACACGTTTATAATTTCTCACTGCAAAGTCCTTTCTCCTTTCCCTTAAATCTCTCAAAACCTTTTCCCTATCTTCTTTGTTCTTACGTTCCCTTTCTTTTCTGGCTCTCTCGGCATCTCTATCGAATTTGGTTGTGACGGAAGCAAGTTTTTTGACATGTTTCTCAAAGCGCAGACTTCTCTGGCTTACCGTGTCGTAGGCAGCCTCGGTATCTTTGTGCCATTTCTGAATGCTTGAACTTCTGCTACTGGGGCGGGAGGAATTGGACTTCATAGAGAAAGAGCTGTCAGGGCGGTAAGGTGTCGGAAACCTTGGTTTGGCATTGTAAATAGACCACAACTCGCTTTGGGAAGTGGTGTGAGGCTTAAAGTTTGACATCTTGTCACGAGTACTTCTTGACTGTTC